GCAGTGAATGAAAAGCAGTAAGCTAATTGATGAATTGGTTTGGAACAGTCATCTGCATTCTGCATAAATTTGTTGAACACTATTGGGTAGTAGTTGATAAATATAGCAGACAAATTGTGCTGTTATGCTGCAAGTCCAACTTAAAAACATTATTCAGTACTGCAGTCTACTCCATGCATTCAATTAACACAGTTCAATTTCTGCCTAGTTAGTGTAGCAGCACAGAGATCCTCTGGGTAAACGAACCAAGTTACTCTGTTAATTCTGATCATTTTACAAGTTTTTCTCTAACAAGCAATTTGACACAGACTATGCATCTTTCTTTTGCCTAGAAATTATCTGTTGATTTTGATAATCTATCAGAAAATCAAAACCTCTCTATCTGAAATTCGATTCAACCAAAATAGTAACAACCAAAAACCTGACCCCTCACTACCAACTTAGCAAAAGAAAGAAAAACCAAATCCCAAAGTAGCAGTCAACAACTTTCTCAAATTAACACTCTAAAATTCACAGACCATGATAGTCTAGTGGTCTATTATGCACCACTTCTTCATCTCTTTAATTTGGTCTGCTAAAAATCTTAAAAACCCTGCAAAGCTGCAAAGGAAAGATATGTTTATTCTCAGGTTCAAATAGCCTCCATGCCATTACAAAGCCTATCATATACACTGAGACATAACATCAAACACTAGGTAGGTGTATGTGTGTTTGAAACCACACTCACTCACTCACTTTCCTTGGATTTTGAAAAGCTGCAGAACTTTGCACTTTAACATTGCACTTTAACATGTTGCAAAGGAACCAAACAGTGACCAAAGACATGCCTACTCAGAATTTTTAATTCAAACACAAATAAACAATAAATAAAAAAAAGGAAATTTTGCTTGGTGTAGTTCTAAAAGTGCATGTGAAGCGTGAGACACACATATGATAACTGCTATAAACAAAAGTGGAAAGCGAGGGGTCTCACGCGGATCATAGACAAATACACTCTCTCCTCTTTCATTCATCTTTCTGCTCTGTTCCTGCACTCACCATAACGCAACATTGACCCACCAATACAGACAACCCCTTATGCTATTTAACCACATCTTCAATACTCTTTATGTCAAAAATACATAACCAAATTCAGATTAAACAAATTTCACCATGATGTGATTGTGACTCAGTACCTCACAACTTTGGTTGCATTCATGCATTCTGTCCTATTAGATTAAACTCAATCATTTCTTCTAATCAACTTAATTACAGTAAAATTAGCTAAATTACAAGAAAAATCAGAGTAAAAATGGTGATTCTGAAAAGGGTAGCACACATTTTAGAAGAATAATATAGATTTGCAGAAGGGTAGGGAGAGAATAGAGAATAGGGCACGAGGCTCGAAACCACAGTGCCTTTCGCACTCAAACTTTAAAAGGCCTCGAATTTCAAAAGCTGAAAAGGATATCATCCTAAAGCCACCCAAAACAAATTACACCCTTCACCATTACTATATTTATATCCCAAATCACAAAATGCCTTATGCATCATCATCCCGAATATGTATCATCATGATATCTCGCTATGTTACTTGTGGGGACATGTATGCATACACATGATACATACATTTGTATGTACACTTTCTCAGTCAATGGGAACAAGGTTTCACAAATTCAGAAATATTTAGATGGCATATGAATGTATCAAATTCTTGAAATAAAAAAGTTTAACCAGTAATTTCAAAATTCTAAATTTAGTATAATTCTGATTATTATTTTTTAAAAGTTATGGCTTTATAGTTAGATTCTTAAAAGGTCTAAGTGATATTAAATAAAAATTAGAGATACTAATATTAAGAAAATATATGCTTAACCAATAATATTTGTTAGAGATAGTGGAAATTTTTATATGGATTAAACTTAAATTTTATTTTTCATTGAATTCTAGAGTTCCAATTTGAGTATAAAACTATAATTTGGTAAGTTAAGTTTGATTTGACTAAAAATTGAAGAAAAAAAAAGGAGAAATATGAGAAACAGAACAAGAGGACATAATGAACTTGAAATGGCAAATGGAAAGTGTGAAATGGGAAGCATTTGAATAAACAGAAATGGAATAAGAGACAAAAATAGGCAACACGTGTGGGGCCTTGGCTTACCTAATTGTCTTCTTTCTTGTCACTCAAATCACTCATGCAATGCAAGGGATGTGTCTCATTATTACATTAAAAATATTAACTATAATAAAAGAAAATTACAACCTTTTTTTTTTTTTATCAATAACATCATATTCGAATTCATGAAAAAAATATAAATTTATACTTTGTTCCATTTATGTATTTTTATTTACAATAGTATTGGTGCAAATTATTTTATAAGTCATGTTTTTATATTAAATAAAAATTATTCTTTTAATATTTTTTCTTTTATTTAAGTTATATTAAAAAAATGAATTTTAAGACTAATTAAACTTCATAAAAAAAATTGTTGAATGAGGTTTGTATTAATGTATATTATAAATTAATTTTATCTTTAGTAGATGTTCATACTCTTTCTCATGCCATGAGTTATATACATCTCATGCCTAAGATTATATATTAATAAGTGATTCAATAGCGACCCGATATGGATAGAATAATATGTCCACAAAACATTAAATCTCATTAGGGTAGTATGTAACTCATGATACCATTTTGATAACTGAATTTTAAAACTAACTTAACTCCACCAAACCTTCTAATATAAGATTTGTACCATATATGTATTTTAAACTAATTAACCTTATATATAGTTCCAACACAAACGTCCCTTTTTTTATTATTTTATCAAATAAATTATTAAAAGTGATAGAACATAAGCTTTTATTATTTAGATACTTCTATGTTATATAATTTATTTTTATTATATACAAGATATGTAACATCCTAAAAATACAGTATAAAATCATATACGAAGATAATCACATATTAATAATACTACAAATCAGTTCTACACATAACGAGATACTATTATGGCCGAACGACCTTACATAATAGCAGGGAATTAAACCGCACACTGGCTACAACTAGACCGAACGATTTACAAAAAAAACTTATACCGAACGGTCTTACAAAAGATGAAGCCAACAACTGACCAAACGTTCCTAAGGTTCGGCCTTCACTTCCGCCTCTTCCAATGCTTCTTCCAGCAACTCCTCTCCTTCTGCTCACATCTACACGGATGATCATTGCAATAGGACAACAACCGAACGCACAACACAGACAAAATGATAAACAGGATAAGCTTATGTAATTTAATTAATTCAATAACAACATACAACATTCATGATTAAATCAACAACACCCAAATCATAATTCATGCGTAATGGCATACAAAGACCGACCACTTGACTCTTACTGTCCGGACTGTATGAATCCTGTGTAGCTACTACATTTTTGCACCCGGGTGATGTAGTAACTGGGATACCCTCAACAGCTGCCACCCTTGGTTAATTCGTTTCGTCCAAGTTAACCTTATGGACTATGACCTCCTGTCATTCCCACACATGACTTACTCCTCTCTACGTGAGAATGAGTAATCACGGAATATCAGGATAAACGCTCGCTAAGCTTTGCCCACATTCATACTTTACCAATCAATAACCACTTTTTGAGATATTCCTCCCTGGAATACTCTTTCATAACCAAACTATTTCATTCGCATCACATTTCAAATTCTCTTATACTTCATCATCAATATATTCAACTGAAATAAGATCACACTTTCTCATCATAACACAAGTCCGAATGGAATAACACTTCTTAGAAACTAACATGACTGAGCGCTATTTACGAATTTATCTATTTCAATAACCAGACCCTTAAGAGTTCAATTTAGGCCGAGTACTAAGACTCTAGGTCGAACACCTTTTAAAGACCAACACTGTTTGACACCCAATACTAATACTGATGAGAAACTATGAAGTAACGAACGTTATTGAGTTTGGCTGAAGACTCTTATTCTAAAAACGGTAATAATAGATTACTGAAATGAGACCCAGCGCTTGGTTTAAGACCAAGCCTTGTAGAAACCGAACACTATTAAACGAGCGCTGGTCCAAGACCAAATACTTATCAAGAACGAGCGCTACTGAGATTGAACGCTTGGTCCAAGACCGAGCAATACTAAACTTACATAAAATGAATGAATATATATATGTATATACTTGTGCCACACTTAATTTTTAATGAAGAATAATGACACCCTCTATGACTTTAAGTAGTATAGTATACATTAACTAAACTGTTTAGGAAACCTAAAGGAGAACTACACTTAGACCGAACGCTTATTTATATATATCTAATAATATAAAATGATCTTCAAGAACGAAATTCTCTCCAGAAGAAGAATTTAGTTTAGACGGACGCTTCAAAGGAAAACTGAACGACCAATACTGACTCTCGATTACAGTTTACCTAATTATGCAGAGTATTACAGAATGACTCTCAGCCAATATCCCTAAAGCATAAGAAATTAGTTAAGACCATACACGTCCATGAAGAATCGAACGATCACGAATGACGCGCGACCATACTACAACATTTACTCAAAATACTACAATTTGAAGATCACACCCTATTTCAACTCAGTTCACACCATTTATCAGTCGTTCATCCATACATCCTAACATGCAATAACACGCATATTTCACACTCATCAAATAATCAAACAAAGTATCATACAAACATACAAACGTTCAAAACAAAATCTTAATCAAATTATATAAGCTTCCCTTACCTCTAGACGTAACCGAACTCTCACCGATTCAGAATAGAGCTCACCACTACCAAAGACTTTAACATTCGACAGTCACGTTTTAGGAATACTGAACCAAACAGAACACCAGAAATACTCAGAATAATATGATTCGCTCAGGCAACCATAAATTTGGGTTTGTATGCGAAAAGAACGAACGTGCTAAGGAGAAAGTAACTCACCGGCTTAGAACCACAACCCGATCGGTTTAAACGAAAGCTCTTGATGTCGGGAGAGTTCAAACGGTGCCTGAGAGGTGATCGGAAGAGGAAAAATGAGATTTTCTTAGAGAGAAGATAACGAAGATTTAGAGAGAAGGAGGAGAAAATGGTTTCAGCAATTTGGAGAAGAAAGAAAACATGCAGAGAAGTGGCACGACATTTGAAATTTAGCATTAAATACTACCGTCATCCAAAACCGAACGGCCATTGTCCTACAGCCACTTGTTTTCCATAAACTGAAACTCTAACTCTCTCTCCTTGACACTTGGCTTCCACTACTTGTGATTTTTTGTGGATTTTAATGGGTTCTGACAAGATATATTTTATACTTCACTACATTAATATTTAATATTGATAACCGATAAAATTGTTTTATTTTAGACAACAAAATTGAACTTAGTTGAACAAAATTAATGAAACCGATAAAATTGTTTTATTTTTTNTGCTCGTAGAACTCTTCACCGTTCGGTGGAAGGCCACTCCAAAGAATGCTGATGGAAGTAAAGCATGTCGTCTTCATCTAAACATTGGCCATGACACCGAAGAGTGTAACATAGTAAAAGATGAGATAGAAAGACTCATCCGTTCAGGGTACCTCCAAAAATACATAAAGGAGAGAACATCCACCAGAGCAGCAACCCCAGCAGGAAGGAAACCTTGCGGAGAAGTCCCGAACGATCGCCTCATAGGGACGACCGACGAAGACGACGATCCCGGAGCCAACCCCGACACCCAGAAAGAGAGAGGTCAGTCCGAGGACGAATCACATCATATCTGGAGGCTTCGCTCGGAAAAGACACTTGAGAAATGTAAAAGCGGTGCACATGGTAGATCGACAACCTCGATCCATGCCCAACATCACTTTTACAGATGCAAACTTCCACGCTCCTGGCCCTGATCACGATGACCCCATGGTCATCACCGTTGAGATAGCCCGTTACGATGTCAGGAAAGTGCTCATTGATCAAGGCAGCTCAGTCAATATCTTGTACTGACCACATTCCTGAAAATGGATTTATCCGAAGACCTGATAGCCCCTTTCAACGAGCAGATTGTAGGCTTCGTAGGGGAAAGAGTTGACACTCGGGGATACCTCGACCTAAGAACTCGACTCGGAACAGGTAGGGAGGCAAGAGAGCTAAGAGTCAGGTTCTTACTGGTAGAGGCAAATACTTCATATAACGCCTTACTAGGACAACCATGCTTGAACGCTTTCGGAGCCATCGTATCCACCCCTCATCTAGCTATGAAGTTCCCAACAGAGAGAGGCATCATGTGTACGGTAAGGGCCGATCAGCAAACGGCTCGACAATGTTACGTTGCCGGTTTAAAGGTCACACCTTTCATGCCACCAAGAAGAGCCAGAAGAGCTGAAACAACTACGATTGACTTGGATCCCAGAACCAATATAGACGAGCATCTCCATCCACAAGGTGACGTCAAAACATTCTAGCTGGGAGCAGACGCATCGAAAACCACGACCATCGGTGAAGGCTTGGAGTCGCACGATGAACATGATCTGACAAAGATACTAAAAACCAACGCCGACCTATTTGCGTGGGTGGCCGCAGATATACCAGGGATCCATCCGGGAGTAATGACACATAAGCTGTCAATCTTCAAGGAAGCACATCCAGTTGCTCAAGAGAAACGGCGATTCGGGGAAGAAAAACGAGTGGCCATACAAACAGAAGTCAACAAACTGATGAACGCCCGATTTATCAGAGAAGTAACTTACACGACGTGGTTGTCGAACGTGGTCATGGTCAAAAAGCCGAACGACTAATGGAGAATGTGCGTGGACTTCACCGACCTTAACAAAGCATGCCTTAAAGATTCATATCACCTTCTGAGCATTGATCGGTTGGTAGATGGAGCCTCAGGACATACTGTACTAAGCTTCCTTGATGCGTATTCAGGGTACAACCAAATCCCCATGTACGAACCCGATCAGAATAAAACAGCCTTCATTACCGAACGCGCAAATTACTCTTGTGAAGTAATGTCGTTCAGTCTGAAGAATGCAGGAGCCACCTACCAATGCCTTATGGACAAAGTCTTCTACCATCAAATCGGAAAATGCATGGACGTCTACGTAGATGATATGGTCATCCGAAGTCAATCTGTGGAACAACATCTCAAAGATTTGGCGGAAGTTTTCCTCTAGATACGACGATATAACATGAGACTTAACCCATCTAAATGTACCTTTGGCGTGCCGGCTGGGAAGTTTTTGGGTTTTAGGCTAACATGCAGGGGAATTGAGGCCAACCTGGACAAATGTAGGGCCATACTGGAAATGCAGAGCCCACAAAACCTGAAAGAGGTACAACGTCTAGTTGGCCGAATGACAACGTTATCACGCTTCATTCCGAAGTTGGCCGAACACATCAGGCCTATCTTGAAGAACATGAAGAAAGGCACCACCCGACATTGGGACGATAAGTGCGAAAAAGCCTTCGGTGCTGTTAAAAACATTCTCACCAGCCCTCCAATCATGGCACGATCGGTAGCAGGATTCGACTTGCAGTTGTACATCGCAGCATCCCATCATGCTGTAAGTGTCGATTTGGTATAGGAGACCCCCATCCTTAAGTTGATATATTTTGTTAGCAGAACGTTACAGGAGGCGGAGGAGCGGTATTCCCAAATCGAAAAGGTAGCATTGGCCCTACTCACGACATCACGTCGACTTCGACCATATTTCTAGAGCCATCAAGTGATCGTCCGAACTAACCACCCAGTCGCCAAGATCCTCAGAAAACCAGAGCTGGTAGGAAGGATGGTCTCATGGTTAGTAGAACTTTCTGAGTTCGGACTACGTTTTGAACCTTGAAGGTCCATCAAAGGACAACACCTGGTAGACTTTGCTGCCGAACTAACAGCCATACCTGATAGCTTAGAGCCAATATGGCTCCTTAACGTGGACGGATCCTCGAACAAAAGAGGAGGGGGAACTGGTATTGTGCTAGAAGGACCAAATGGCCTAATCATCGAGCAAGCCATCACATTCCGATTTCAAGCCAACAACAACCAAGCAGAATATGAAGCCTTGATTGCTGGTTTAATCCTAGCCAAAGAATTGACAGTCGCTCGATTAGAATGCAAGATGGATTCGCAATTGGTGGTCGGTCATATGAACGGAACCTACCAGGTTAAAGACAATCAATTACTACGCTACTTTCACAAAGCAAACACCCTCCTCAAAGACTTTGTCGATGTCAGCATCATTCATGTGCCTAGGGAACAAAATGGAAGAGTAGATCTCCTATCCAAGTTAACTCACTCAAGAGAGAAAATACAATTATCTTCCGTCATCAAGATGACACTTGACCACCCAGTCGTGGAAACTTTTGCCACCAATGTCTCAACACACGAAGCTGATTGGAGACAAAGCATACAGGACTTGATGATGAAGCAGGAGCGAGGAGAAAAAATCACAGCAAGCGACTTAAAACGCATCGCTCGTTTTCTACACATAGGTGACGACCTATACAGGCATGGCCACACCACACCCTTATTAAAGTGTATATCGGTAGACGAAGCAGATTACGTTCTGCGTGAACTCCATACCGGGATCTACGGTTTTCACTCAGGAAAACGCACGCTCAGAGCGCGTGTACTACGCGCAGGATATTACTGGCCAACGATCGACCAAGATTGTGAGAAATTCGTCAAGAAATGTCTCTCATGTCAAGCGCATGGTCATTATTTTCGCGTCCCTCCTGAAGAATTGCACGGCATCATCTCCCCATGGCCGTTCGCCTAATGGGGAATAAACATAGTTGGACCGTTACCGATCGCAAAAGCTCAGAACAAATTTCTCCTGGTGGCGGTCGACTACTTCACTAAATGGATAGAAGCCAAACCACTATCCATAATCAGCGCCCAACGAGTACAGAAATTCATCTGGCACCTAATATGCCGGTTCGGTCTGCCACAAAAAATCATCACGGACAACGGCAGGCAATTCATTGAAAAAATGTTAGAAGATTTCCTCAAAAAACCTGGGGATTAAGCATGTGACCAGCTCAGTAGAACATCCACACACTAATGGACAAGCAGAAGCCGCAAACAAAGCTCTGCTCACAGATAATTGAAAAAATACTCGGCGAGGCTAAAGGTTTATGGGTGGAGGAACTACTAGAAGTACTATGGGCGTACAAATGCATCCCACATGGATCCACAGGGGACACTCCATTTAATTTGACATACGGCACAGACGCCATGCTTCCAGTCGAGGTCGGGGAGTCATCACTTAGACGTAGCATCACCGACACGACCCTTAACGATGAACAGCTACAAATGAACCACGACACGCTACCTGAGCGACGAGAAGTCGCCACAGTTCGTGCAGCAGCTCAAAAAAGAATGTTTTCCCGCAGATACAACACTAAAGTCAAGCCTAGAGCTTTCAAAAATGGTGATCTTGTATGGCGGAAACGAGGAGAAGCAAGAAAAAATCGAGCGCATGGAAAACTCGCAGCCAATTGGGAAGGATCGTTCTGCATAGCAGAGGACTTGATGAATGGGGCATATCACCTCAAACTTCTCAATGGGCAAACCATCCCCAACACTTGGAACGCCACTCACCTTAAACATTATTTCAGTTGAAATTTATCATTTCCATGTTTATGAAACATTATTTCTCTACCTACAATAATGAATGTTTTTTCATTCCTCATCTACTTTATTCTCAACAAACAGACCAACAGGTCCCTCCTATGACACCACATAATCACACACAAGTTTCAAGTCCCAGGGACAAACGCTAGGAAGCCGATCGACCTGGTAGATGTTCGCCCTAGAACACCCAGATCATGGCGCATAGGGATACACTCCCTCTGGTAGATGTTCTTCCTTGAACACCCTTGTGCATTAATCAAAAGGACACACTCCCACTGGTAGATGTTCGCCCTATAACACCTAGAACATTCAATCTACAAGATCATCCACAGCTCTAGATTAAATTCCCTTAGAACGTCTACCATTCACGAAATATTAATAACAAACAACAACGAATACTCAAGTCATGCGCGACAAAGGCGTTTGTCAAACGTCAAATTAACCAAATCCTACGCTTATGAAGTTTGTTCCTAACAAACAAATAAGTACAAAGAGCTCATGGCCACGCCAACACATTACAGCCTAATCTATTACAACATCTGGTGATCCAACAACAGACCCTCCGGTAGCTTCGGCATTAGGTCCCTCAGCAGCAGCTACTCCAACATCAACACCTTCTTCAGGTTCCATGAAAGCATCATTCAGGATCTCAGCTAAAGGTACCAATTGACCTTCGTATACATCCTTTCTCAGATCAAATTCCACTCCCTCAATGGACACTAGAAGAAGATGCGCGACCTGCCTCAGAGCCTTCTTGAACCCTCTAGGGTGTTCCACAACTATTGCTTCGCTCATTTCCTCTCTTATTTCTTTCTCCTCGGCAACAGCAAGGAGTAGGCCATCCCTATCTTTAGTTAAAGCAGCCACGGTTTTGGTTGACTGCTCTGACTCAGTCGCCAACTGGTCTCGTTCTCTCTGCAACTGATCCCGTTCTCTTTTCATCGCAAATCCGGCTGTCTAAACATTATTCAACAGCGCTTGAGCCTCACTCAATAACTGCTCAAATTGTTTTTGCCTCTGTTCACAGTTAGAGTGGATGTCCGCCAGTTCCTTTAGCTGGGTCTGCGCCTTTTGCGACCCTCAAAATGCCCCTATCGGATGCGTACGCCATGTGCCAAGCGGCCATAGCTGCTCGACTTGCAAGTTCCAGCATCGCATCGGCCATTTGTTGTTCAGTCATGCTTTCCACAACCTTCTTCTCATAGTCGTCCAAGTTAAAATCAATCTTATGGCTAAGATTGAAAGATGGATCCCACACGCCATTAGGAAGAGGGCGATTCGTCACCTCGTCAACATCCTTCATTCTCTTTGGAGCAGCGCCCATTTTGTTGATAGCCTTACCCCTCTGTTTCCTTATGAGTGGCTGCTCCTCAATGATCGCCACTTCATCGGGGGAGGACGACCGCACATTTGGAGGAAGTTGAGTGGTCCCTGAAGATTGGCCTGGACGCCCGCTGCCCGCTTTACCACTATCAATGGCTTTGAACCAATTACGGACTGGTCCCTTTTTCCCCATGATCTCTGCAAATACAGGTTCATCCCACACAGTCAACAATAATCAAATAATATACAAAAACACCAATAAGAGAAACATACCGAACACCCTTGAGTTGAAGTCATCGTGTTCAAGGCATTTTATGAGTCGACGGGAAGAAAAGGGGCGAGACAGTGCCGTCAACACACTCAAAGCTTCCAGTTCTCCAACAGTCATCTTATCCTCAGGGCATGAGGTAAATTTTAGTGGATTTTGCGTCCAATACAGGAGAAATTTCGGGATCCCATCTTCATGAAAAAAGAATGCCCGCCCTGAATCGAGAATCGACACTCTAAAGAATTTATCTTTAAAACCCCTGTACGACTGCGAGTACAGTTCCAGGAGGGCGTCACCAGGCTCAGATATTAACGACACCCAACCCCTTTTGGCAACAGGACGATATCTAAAGAAATGCAGAAACAATGGCATAGTAGGCCTAATGGCCAAGGCCTGACACATAACAGCAAATGCCTGAATATATCCCCAGCTATTGGGATGTAGTTGGGTGGGAGCAACATTTAGGGTTTTTAATACCTTCATCTGAAAAACACTCAGAGGCAACCTAATGTACATATCATAGAATAACGAAGAATAGAAGTAGAAAAAGTCTTGGGCGACACTCTCTCTTCCATGAAAAACCCGTTCATTTTCACGGCAAGCCACCAACTTTATACAGGATTTGTAACCTAGGGTTCTCAGAATACAACTATTATCTACCCAGTCTTCCAACACTACTCTATTTTTAAACAAGCTACAAAAATCACTTACGTCCCGTGAAGCCCAATCATAATCGTTGTCTCCAGACGATGAGGAAGCTAGATCTTCTGGGTTTTCAGCTAGTACATTCCCATATACAAACGCACTCTCACCACCAACAATGGAGGCGATTTCGTGGCACCTTCCCGCCGACGACACTTCCGGCACTTCAACACCTTCATTCAACCCCTTTTCTTCCATCGTCAACGATAAACAAATTAGCACAGGGAAAGGATTCAGGTTTACCTGATAAATTCATAAACGAGAAAAGTAAAGTTGAAGCGAGGCAAGAGAACCGTCACCAAAGCAGAAATGGTGATGTTGCAACCACAATTTCTTATGCCTTTTCACATTGTCTTTCACATTAATGAAGGGAAAACTGACAGTGGAACGCCACACGCCGTAGGATTAGCACAATCCAACGGCTCCGTTTTCACGCCTTTACAAATACCTTCGAGAGCGGGAAATCGTAGAACGTCTCAACAAAATGGTGCGTAGCAATTACCCTACTCAACGAGCGTACCCTCAACGTCCTATACTTAACTCGCACGCTTAAACCGTGTTGGTTAACTCGGACTCGGGGGGGGGGGGATTATGTATGGTAGAATATCTGAAGTCGAGCGGTTGTCAACAATAAACCAAACGACTGACTGACCGATCGCCTTTATCCGGACGACTAGCAATAATAAATAGGCCAGGTATTAACGAATAGTCAAACGATCACTTCCGAACGATCGTCAACCTCCTAGACAAAACGATCGCGATATCGTAAAAGATAATGCCAGCGAGACAATCGTCATGCCATACGCTCGTCAATGTCGCCCCTAGTATCGATCGTCTTAATAGCGATCGTCCGTTACTTAAACCAAACAACCAGCATGGGTCAAATTAACCCAGTCAAGCTAAGAGTCAACAAACGTTCGGTCAGCTTTATTCAGACTGGGTCAATTAACCCGGATAAACTAAGAAAGAAGCGGTTACAAATGTCTAACCATGAAAGCGCAAGTTACAGAACTAACCAACCAAGTATCAAAGACGAGGATCACGATCAGGTGACTGAATTATCCAACTAACCAGATTTTTAGGTAAACGGTTCATCTTACTTTTAGGTTAAATACGAGAAACCTAAAGGAAAGAGGTACGTTTTGATAATTGAAAAAAGAGAGAGAAAATATTAATTTGATTATTGAACCAAAAGGTTTGGTCATTCCTTTTTCTGATTTGAGCGTCGGAGTGCCTTCGCAGGTACCCACTCCATTCTCCCCGAAGAGTCCTGTGCAACTGGAAGATATAAGGATAACTGCATTGTGAGAAGGTGAAGACGTCATTGATCAGGTTCGCGTCTCAGTCCCAACAATTATACCGAAAGACTATGTGTTCCTAACTGTCATACATTTATTGTATTATCTTTTGCTGATAAAAATAATATATGGAATGTGATTCTAATTTTCGTTTAACCTAAGTTAATTTCTTTATATCCACCGCCATCATGCTTTTACATCTAAGCCAATATAGAGATGAACACACTTTTTTTTTTATCAGTATACACTGTAAAGCAATCCTTTCATGCATATTTCTGTTATATTCGATGCCAACGAACTTTATATATTGGTAAGAATATGATGCTGATACATTAAGCTAATGAAGAATCTGAATCTTAATATTTAAAAATGCGTGTTATGATCGTTTTCTAAGTAAGAAAATTTCTGTAAATTATTATAACTCTGTGATGCACCGGATAATTACTGTAAATAAAATTAGGGTTACATATTTCATAGTCAAAAGCTAATTAGGATGTGGGATATGACTCTAACTGTGTATGGTCTTACATATTTGATAGTGAAAGGCTAAGT